TTTTACTTAAGTGTATTTTAATTGTTTGTTGTCCAAAGGCATTGAATAGTTGCCATATGTAAAGCCCGCCTTGAGCCCACTTCCTGCGAGATACAAATAGAGTAAATAAATAAATAAATGATCACCTTGATTAGCATTGAATAGCTTCAAGGCTTGGCTGCTTCCTGCCTGGGGGAATCCTTTGTTGGGAGGTGATTAGCTGTCCCTGATTGATTCTGGAATTCCCCTGTTTTTGAACGTTGTTCTTTATTTACTGTCCTGATTTTAGAGGGTTTTAAAAATACTGGTAGTCAGATTTTGTTCATTTTCATGGTTTCCTCCTTTCTGTTGAAATTGTCCACATGCTTGTGGATTTCAGTTGCTTCTCTGTGTAGTCTGACATGGTAGTTATTAGAGTGGTCCAGCATTATTTTCAAATAAGGAGCCACTCAATTCCACTGGAAAAAAATAATTTTACTCCATTTTATTAAGTGCTCTAGATTGGGGTATTAGTTAATAATAACCCAACACAGAATGCCAAGTGAGTGAATAATTACTAAACTGATACTAATGTTTACTTCAAAGCAGACCCACTGGGTTTAAAAAATATATATATTATTCCAAGGATTATATTGTCAGGGTGGCACTGAAAATATAGGCAAATTTCTGATTGATTTTAACTGGACTTGCATTGCAGTCTTAAGAAATATAGTAATCCAAATCAATTGGTTAATTGTATGTGATATATAATCCTTTAATAGTTTAACTGGGTAGTTATTCAGCTATTAGCTATTATTAGTTATTATTATTATTATTATTAGTTATTATTATTATTATTATTCAGTTAATCAGCTTGCAAGGTTATAGCATGTTGCAAGACCTTGCTTATAACTAAGTTTTTAAAGAATCCTTCTAGATATCATCTATTTGATTTTTTAAAAATTCAATTTTGCATCTAAAATGCTCTTTTATACCCCCCAAAATGCATTATTCATAGCCTTAAAATTATTAAGACCTCCTAATGTTCAAAGATTAAGGCTATTTTATATATTACCCAGTTAAAGCCTAAAAACGATTAGGCAGAGGTAGGTTGTTGTTGGGGTTTTTTAAAAAAGTAACAAGCATCTGTAAATCCAGATATGAATGAATGGTATTTAATAAGATTGTTTTTCATTTTTAAAAAATGAGTATTTATGCATTGCTGGAGAAAGAGCAGCAGTGTGTGCATTGCTGTTTATGAATGCCTTTGTGCCTGAGGTTAGGATCCCCCACACAATCTGTGATGCAGCCAAGAAAAACAGCCCAGATAGACAATGCTTCACTTCACCTGCTACAAGGCTGTGCATTTCATTTATGTCAAGGCTGCATGTACAGTTAGGGTTCATTCACCTCATTATTTTGTTACATCCACTTTACAGTTAACCAATGTATCTTGGGGAGGGAGATGAATAAGCATTTTCAAAACGATGCCATCTTTATATGCAGAAGATCAGTCTCTCTCCCTCCCTTTCAAAACCACACACACACCCTCCTCACTGTTTTATTAAACAGTCTTTCACAGCAAAATAGCGTTTCAACTCTGCCAGCTCTCCCCTGGTTGGCCACACAGACTTTCTCCTGCTTTATCTGACTAGATTATTAAACAGGGGGCAAAAGAACAACCTGTGCTCTCCCTCTAATGCATTTGCTTCCCCTCCTCATAGCAAAACCATCAAAACAAGGGCCTAATTCTCTTTGCGGCTTCACTGAAAAGATATTAAGAAACCTAGCCCTTTTCAATTTGGACACAGAAACAGAGAACCTCCACAAACTCAGCCTTTTCAGAAATACCATCACAGATCTGACTGTTTTGCAAAACCCAAGATGGACGCAATTATGATGGAGACAACAACCAGATTGTGCTGGAAAGTAAGTTTCACAATGTTTTTGCTCAAACTCTCCAGGTTTAGCAATCCAAACAACCATTGTAAGCAAACTGCTTTTTAAAAACAAGTCTTCCACAAGGAGAATATCTTAAAGTCCTCCCTGGGCTCCTTTCCTATCAAAGCTACCTTTTCACATGCCAACTCCACGCCACAAACCCCCACAATGAAGCCAAAACAACTGCAATTTTCATGAGAGTATGTAGTGAGCCAGTTTTAGTTCTCAGACACAAGGAAATGCCTCTTTTAAGCAAGTTCTGTTTGGACAGGAGTTGACCAAAGCAATAAAATAACATTCTAGATCCATTTTTTTGTGCTGTCTTGGTTATAATTGAACACCTTATCTTCTACAAGGAGAATATCTTAAAGTCCCTCCTCGGCTCCTTTCCTATCAAAGCTACCTTTTCACATGCCAACTCCACACCACAAAATCCCACAATGAAGCCAAAACAAATGCAAATTTCATGATAGTATTTAGTGACACAAGTTCTCAGACACAAGGAAATGCCTCTTTTAAGCTAATTCTATTTGGATAGGAGTTAACCAAAGCAATAAAATAACATTTTATATCCATTTTTGTGCTATCTTGGTTACAATTGAACACAATTATTGGGGAATAAAAACCAGCCATTTTTGCCTCTTCCAAAATGTTGGGGAAAATATTCTGCTGTGTTAGAATATTTTCCCCAACATTTTGGAAGAGGCAGAATGGCTGGTCTTTATTCCCCAAATACAAACATTGACTTTATTTATGTACCTGAAGACAAGTCTTACCAAATATTTACAACAAAACTATATATGGGCCTCATCACATTAGAGAAAAAATCCACTTAACATCCAGTTTCTGCCTCCTGCAGAATTCTGGGGTTTGTAGTTTAAGGAGGAGCCTCTAACAGCCTCACTAAATTACAAATCCCAGAATTCTGCAGGAGACAACACTCAGATTTTAAGTGGATTTTTTTTGTACTGTGATGTCTATCAGACACCCATAGAACTCTACTTTCCACAATCTGTAACACACATACACAGAAGCACTGAAATATTTCAACTTGTATGTGAAGATTTGTACTTGTGCATGTGTACAACTGCTCAGATCTTCTCCCAGGGATACATATTTCTCCCCTGCCCCATATTCTCCACAGAATGGCAACAATTATGAAAAAGCTGTGAAAATTCATATTATGGCAATCAAGGTCAGTCGTACTGAGGCATAATTAGGAAGCAAGAATAAAAACCTAAAGATCCAATAAATAAAATAAAACTTTTATTTTTTAAAAATAAAATTACCTTTCAGTTAAAGAAAAGTATGCCATTTCTTTAACAGTACAGTATTTTTTTATCCAAAAGAGTACATTGTGTTTTATTGTGTAATTTGTCTGAATACAGACTCTGTGGAATATCTAAATGATACCCTGCTCTGAACTCCAACTTGAAAGTAAGTTTTTATTATACTTGAGGGAAACAATGGGTTCAGCTGCTTATTGCAAGGAGCAATTGTCAAGGGAGAGTTAAACTCAATTACTGTAACCATACTGAATAAAAAATACTGCCAAGAACAAAAATACGCCTGGGTAAAGACAGCCACTGAATAAAAAAAAATCGACATAAAGCGTATCAAATATTTATTTATCTGGGCAACAAAGGACTATGATACATTGACAGGCATGGAAACTACTGCCAGCACAACTCAATACAATACAACTATAACTGCTTCCAATATGGCCGGTGGAAATAGAGGATACCAGGTGGTCCCAAATGTATGGAAGTTGTTTCAACCAAAAGATAACTCAAAATGAAAAGGGGGAAGGAAGAGTTGGGAGAAAATCTCTCATCCTTTTTTCTGAATAGACAGCATCAGTGTATTGCTCTGAAGGTAATTTTAATAGAAAGACACTGGATATAATTTTTTTGTTTCTTTTCTTTTTCAAAAGCCACAACACATAATAGAAACTACTAACACAAGGGTCAAATCTTATCCCAAGGGGGCCAACATCATTTCAGGTGGAAGTAAGTCAGGGTTTCTCAATCTGGGTATTGGGACTCCTGGGGGGTTGTGAGGGGGGTTCAGAGGGGTCTCCAAAGACCATCACAAACACATATTTCTGATGGTTTTAGGAACTCGAATCTCTCCAGTATTTTCTGTCAGTCGTGGGGGTTCTGTGTGGAGTTCAAAGGGCTTTTTTAAAATTGTAGGTGAACTATAAATCCCAGCACCTACAACTCCCAAATGTCTAGGTCTATTTTTCCCAAACTCCACCAGTATCCAAATTTGGGCATATTGAGTATTTGTACCAAATTTGGTCCAGATCCAACATTGTTTGAGTCCACAGTGCTCTCTGGATGTAGGTGAACTACAACTCCAAAACCAAAGTCAATGCCCATCAAACCCTTCCAGTATTTTCTCATGGGAGTTCTGTGTGCCAAGTTTGGTTCAGTTCCATTGGGTATTTGTGCCAAATTTGGTCCAATGAATGAAAATCCATCCTACATATCAGATATTTACATTACAACTCATAACAGTAGGAAAATTACAGTTATGAAGTAGCAATGAAAATAATATGATGGATGGGAGTCACCACAAATTGAGGAAGGTTGAGAAACACTGAAGGAAGTGGTTGGGTGTCATTCCCCCCTCATTTTCCCAATGAGAAACTAATAATTTATTATTAAAATCCAGGTTGTTTTTTATTTCATCAGCTGTTTTATTGTCCTCTTTTTTTAAAAAAAACATGCTACAACAGGGCTGAAGTGATGAATCCCAGAAAAATATGCCACCCCTCCCTCCAAAAAGACCCCTCCCCCACCTCTGTTTTTTCTAAGCAAGTAACCATGAACCACAGTGATGGAACTAAGAAGGGAGGGAAGAGATTTTTTAAAAACCCACTAAACGAGAGGTAAACGAGATCACCAGATAAATAATTAAAAAAGGCTTCCAACAGACTCACCATATTTACAATTCCCATTAAATTACACATAAATAAATATATACATACATGAACACTGATCCCCTTATGGAAGAAGAACCGTGAGAGTTCAGACTGGTGGCTTTACCTTGGGCAGGAGGGAGGTTCTAGAACTGAAGACATGACATGGAACTGCTTGGAGTTTGTGTTCAAGTTTATTCACAATACTGATAAAATGTCACCATCATCATCATCATCATCCTTTTTGCCTGTTTTGTTTTGTTTTTAAATATGGCTACAATCTTAACCGGAAGTTCGTGAAAGGGGAGGTGCTGCTGATCCAGAGTCTTGAGTCTTCTCCGCGTTTAATTCAATCCTGTTTTTAGGGTTGAGAGGGAGTTCTTTCACTATTTTTTTTCTCATTCGAAACAAAAAAAAGAAGTTCGGATCATATTGTTCTTTTAAAAAATGCGGATTTTTTGTGTAAAAAATAAAACAACATAAAAAGTTCACACAAACTCAAAGGGATTCCCCAAAAATATTATCCCCCTCCCACAAAAAAAAAATCATCACCACCCCTTGTCTGGATGGCTCCATCTCCTCTGAATAGGTTCCTTAGTCTCCAGACTGGATAGCAACTGGGGAAGTGGTGAAGAGGAAGGACGAAAGGGGTTGCTTGGAGGAGAGAGCATGGGTTCCTTCCCAGTCTGAAAACTGTGTGAACAGGCGACGCCGAAAATCTCTGGGCTTCTGTGGCGATGGAGGAGGAGGAGGAGGAAGAGCCTAGAGGAAGGCGAGGGAGAGGGGCAGGCAGGCTGGCTGGCTGGGCAGGAAAGCTGGAGAAGGAGGGTGGTGGGGGGGGGGTCCTCATTTCCGGTGCTTCTCCTCTTTGTCGCCGCTTTTGGTGCTGTTGTCTGTGTGGCTGTTGGGGTTGTTGCTGAGGTACATTTTGTCCATGGCCTTGAGCGCCTCGGTGAGATAGTTCTGGAGGGCGGTGACGGCGGCGCAGACCGCGGGGCTCCCGAAGCCGTGCGAGATGAGGTTGAAGTGGGTCAGGCAGCTCTGGATGCCCGGCTCCAAGATGGGGCTGGGCCGCGAGTTCCCCAAGGGAGACCGGTCCTGGGCCAGCAGGTCCGTGAACTCCTTGCAGATCTGTCTGCGGCACAAAAGGAGCGGAGACAGGAGGGAAGGAGGAAGAGAAGAGAACAGAAGAGGGGGAAATGAGCCAGGCTTGGCAGCAAGGAGGCACGGCGAGAGGCAGGCAGGCAGGCAGGCGAGCAGAAGGGAAGGGGAAGGAAGCAGGGAGCACTACGCCTGCTGCCTGCCTCTCTCTCTCTCACTCTCTTTCTCTCATACCGTCTCATTGAACCTAATTCAGAAGATACATCAACCCTTTCTCTTGCCCTTCAGACACTTCCAAGGGCCCTTCCACACAGCCCTATATCCCAGGATATCAAGGCACATTTCAGATTGAGGACACAGATAACCCAGCTCAAAGCGGATATTGTGGGATTTCCTGCCTTGATATTCTGAGGTATAGGGTTGTGTGGAAGGCCCCACATATAACCCAGCTCAAAGCGGATATTGTCGGATTTTCTGCCTTGATATTCTGGGATATAGGGCTGCGTGGAAGGGCCCACAGATAACCCAACTCAAAGCAGATATTGTGGAATTTTCCGCCTTGATATTCTGAGATATAGGGCTGTGTGGAAGGGCCCAGAGGCGACTTGAAGGCACAAAACAACAAGAACTGGAATAAGTCACACTTGGAAAATACTTTGGGAGGGGAGGTTCCAGGTGTATCCTGATTTTGCATTCACATGCTCAACTTTATATTATTTTAAATGACTTTTAAATGTGATGGGAATATCATGTAATTTCTATGTAGCACAGGGATCTCATTTTAGAGTGTGGACTCAGATAACCCAGCTCAAAGCAGATATTGTGGGATTTCCTGCCTTGATATTCTGAGGTATAGGGCTGTGTGGAAGGGTCCAGAGGCGACTTGAAGGCACAAAACGACAAGAACTGAAATATGTCCATAATAAGGCCAGACACCACACTTGGAAAATACTTTGGGAGAGGAGGTTCCAGGTGTGTCCTGATTTCGCATTCACATGGTCAACTATGTCCGAATTACGACTATACCGAACTCAAGTCTGAAGGCCTTTCCACACAGCCCTACATCCCAGAATATCAAGGCCGGAAAACCTACAACAACCCAGTGATTCCAGTCATTAAAGCCTTGGACAATAAATCCCACAATATCTGCTTTGAGCTGGGTTATCTGAGGGCCCTTCCACACAGCCCTATATCCCTGAAGGCAGGAAATCCCACATTTCAGAGTGTGGACTCAGATAACCCAGCTCAAAGCAGATATTGTGGGATTTTTCTGCCTTGATATTCTGGGATATAGGGCTTTGTGGAAAGGCCCCAAGAGCAACCTTTTCTTCTTTGCTCCCTACTTGTTTCGTTCACAGCCCACCTTTCTCCCATTCCTACCACTTTTGAACCAGATCTTCCTCTATTCTGATATGCTTCCACATATGTCATGCTCCTTCAAGTCGTTTCTGACTTACACCCAACATAGCAAAGATCTGTTCAGAGGATTTTGCCCTTGCCTTCCTGGGAAGGCCCTTTCACACAGCCCTATATCTCAGAATATCGAGGCAGAAAATCCCACAATGAATTGTAGATTTTTCGGGCTATATGGCCATGTTCTCGAAGCTTTCTCTCCTGAGTTTCGCCTGCATCTGTGGCAAGCATTCTCACAACCTCTGCAGGCGAAACGTCAGGGGAGATTGCTTCTAGAACATGGCCATATAGCCGGAAAAACCTACAACAACCCAGTGATTCCAGCCATGAAAGCCTTCGACAATAAATCCCACAATATCTGCTTTGAGCTGGGTTATCTGAGGGCCCTTCCGTACAGCCCTATATCCCGGAATATCAAGGCAAAACATCCCACAATATCTGAGGGTTGACTCAAGAATCCAGTTCAAAGCAAATATAGTGGAATTTTCTGCCTTAATATCCTGGGATATAGGACTATGAGGAAGGGCCCAGAGGCAACTTGAAGGTACAAAACAACAAAAAGTGAAATAAATCCATAATAAGGCCAGACATCACACTTGGAAGATACTTTGGGAGGTGTTTGCCCTTGCCTTCCTGGGAAGACCCTTTCACGCAGCCCTATATCCCAGAATATCAAGACAGAACATCCCACAGTATCTGCTTTGAGCTGGGTTATCTGAGGGCCCTTCCACACAGCTCCATATCCCACATTATCTGAGGGTGGACACAGATAATCCACTTCAAAGCAGTTATTGTGGGATTTTCTGCCTTGATATCCTGGGATAAAGGGCTGTGTGAAAGGTCCCCGAGGTTGAGAAAATGGGATCTGTCCCAAGTCATCCAGGGCCCTTCCATAGAGTCATATGTGCACTTCTGTCCCATGCTCTAGTTCATTAGCTACACGTTGCACTGTCCAATTCCCTTGTGCCTGTTTACAGTTGGCCATGATTTACTACAGTTCTCACCATAGGTTATTTGGAGCTTAAATTATTGTTTTTTATGCTATTAGTTTTATCTTGTAATGTGTTATGTGTTTATTTTATGCTTTGTTTTAGGCACATTATGCCACATGTAAGCTGCAAGGTCTCTTGGGGAGATGGAGACAAGTTATTACATTATTATTATTATTATTATTATTATTATTATTATTATTATTATTATTAAACCCATAATATCAAGGCAGAAAACCCCACAATATCTGCTTTGAACTGGGTTATCTGAGCACACTGCCATATGATCCAGTTCAAAGCAGATAATGTGGGATTTTATTTGGCTGTGTGGAAAGGGGCCCAGTGGGTTTCCAGAGTCTAACAAGGCCTCCCTGTGTTTTAGGCTCCATCTCGACTGCCATGGAAAATCCATATTATCTGCTTTGAATTGGATTATATGGCAGTGTAGAATCACATAACCCAGTTCAAAGCAGATCATCTGGATTTTATATGGCATGCAGATGGGGCCTAAGGCTGGATCTATACTGCCATATAATGCAGTTTCAGAATGTAGATTAATTTATATGAGTCCACTCTGCTATATAATCCGCTTCAATGCAATTAGTCAGCATTCTAAAACTGCATCACATGGCAGTGTAGATCCAGCCTAACTCTCAAACTCTGCTGGTTCCCACCCATGCCCTGTGTGTAATCTCTTCATCTTTTCTTTCATTCAAGGCACCTTCCACACAGCTGAATAAAACCCCACATTATCTGCTTTGAACTGGAATATTTAGCAGTCTGGACTCAGATGACCCAGTACAAAGCAGATATTCTGGGATATAGGGCTGTTTGGAAGTGACCCTAGATAAATCTAATAATGAGTATAATCACAACAGCAGCAAGCAGGACTTTTTCGGGTATCTCAACTACAAACTAACAGATCTGGGGTTTTCCCTCTTTCCCTCAGTATCCTATGTGCTCACACTGACTTCAAGCAATATAGGGCCTCTCCACACAGCCATATAACCCAAAATATCAGGACAGATAATATCTGATTTGAACTGAATTATCTGAGTCCACACTGCCATATAATCCAGTTCAATGTGGATTTTATACAGCTGGTGGAAGGAGCCTCTCTCCCATACAAACACCCTAGTGCTCCCTCTCATACAAACAAGGATATCATCAAAGTAGACCAAAGATTTCAGTGAACTACAAGAAAAATTATACAACCAGACTGGGGAAAGAAAACAGACATCACTTCCATATGTGTGTGTCTATCTGTATGTATAAAATCTATAATAGCATCCAGCATAGACTATGTCTCCCTGAGCAGTTTTCTTGTTTCTAGCACATCTTGATCTTATAGCATAATCACACATCTTTTTTCTTGGAAGTTACATTGAATTCAATAGCATTTACACCCTCGTGGATGTACTTAAAATATATGCTTTATCTGATCTTATACACACACATATACAAGCAAGGCTTTCAAGGGATGTGTCTTCTCAGTGTGTGATCTTATATTCATGTGAATTGATTTAAATTTCATTTCAATATGGTAAGCAGTATAGAGAGAGGAGGAGAGGGAGAAGGCACAAATTCCTTATCAATGCAATATAATAGTGGTTAAATTGGATTACAGGCCTGCAGAAACCTCCTGGTAGGCCTGCCATCCAAGGACTAAAGGGCCTCTAAAGTATGGGGGAATGTGACACTGACAGTTAAATTCTGTTCATGTGGGGAAAGGCATAAGAAGGAAAGGGGTTCTGTTCAGAAGCCACACTCAGGGCCCTTCTACACAGCCATATAACCCAGCATATCAAGGCAGAAAATCTCACAGTATCTGCTTTGAACTGGATTATCTGAGTCCACATATAGCAGATAATGTAGGATTTTATTCAGCTGTGTGGAAGGGGCCCTAGTGTCTGAGCAAACTGCTGTGGGAGGAAATTCAGGGGGGAAACCATGTACCTCTTGGTTGTCTAAAGGCCAGTGTTAAACATCTCCCAGGCAAAGAGTGCCTCCACTATTAGCTGCTGGATGCCCTCTGGCCCAGTGCCCTTCCCTGACATCTGCCACCAGCAAATTAAGGGCTCCTAAACACGTCTTTTAATTTCCAGCAGGCACACAATCCACAAGACTCCTGCCTCCCCATCCTGGAAACCGAGGCCTTTTTGCTGTCTCCTTTCCGTCCTTCTCCTGAAGTAACCTCCACTGGCATTTAGTGTGCTTGGATATCCTTAAACGCACAAGGGGGGGAGGATCTCCCAAGAGGAAGAAAACGTTACAAATTCGAATAGTCTGAGGTGCTATGCAGCTTCATTCTATTTCTAAGGCCCCTTCCACACAGCTGAATAAAATCCCACATTATCTGCTTTGAACTGGGATATATGGCAGTGTGGACTCAGATATCCCAGTTCAAAGCATATATTGTGGGATTTTCTTCCTTGTGGAAGGAGCCCAATACTCCTAATAATTTTCTGGGATTGATTTAACTGGGGGCCCTTCCACACAGCCCTATATCCCAGAATATCAAGGCAGGAAATCCCTGGGTTATCTGAGTGTGGACTCATATAACCCAGTTCAAAGCAGATACTATGGGATTTTCTGCCTTGATATGCTGGGATATAGGACTGTCTGGAAGGGCCCTAAGATCAATGTTACTTATTCTAGGCATGTCTATTCAGAAGAAGGATACATTGGGTTTAGTGGGACTTACTCCCAAGTAAATTTGTAAAGAAGTACAGCACAATGTTATCCATGTTTACTGTCAGCATAAACCCTACTGTATCCAATGCAGAGTTTAACAGGAAATAATAGACAAGTTTGCCATGTTTGTGCCTTTCCACACAGCCATATAACCCAGAATATCAAGGCAGAAAATCCCACAATATCTGCTTTGAACTGGGTTATCTGAATCCACACTGACATATATTCCAGTTCAAAGCAGATAATGTGGGATTTTATTCAGCCACAGGGCCTTTCCACAGAGCCCTATATTCCAGAATAGCAAGGCAGGAAATCCCACATTATCTGAGTGTGGACTCAGAGTTCAAAGCAGATATTGTGGGATTTTCTGCCTTTATATTCTGGGATAAAGGGCTGTGTGGAAGGGCCCAAAAATAGCAAACTTTGAAGGGTCCTCAGTTTCACTATTCAAAAGATCCTCCTTGTTGATCTACATTAACTCGAGTGTTGTGGGGATGACACAAACATCACATTTTCTCAGAAAATAAACCCATAGTATTCACACCATTAGGGGAAAATGATAGGAAGATTAATCAAAGGAGGTCCCTTCCACACAGCTGTATAAAATCCACATTGAGATGGATTAGCTGGCAGTGTGGACTCAGATAACCCGGTTCAAAGCAGATATTGTGGATATTCCGGGTTATATGGCTGTGTGGAAGGGCCCTGAGACATTAATCGCACAACATGCAAATAAAGGCGGTATTTCCTCAGAAATGTCTTACTTTGTAGCTAGAAGCATGTTTTTTCTTGTGACTTGCTCGTTTGGATCGGAATGTTGTCGGTTGAGAAATTCAGCTACTGCTTTGGCAGGGAATTCCGTTTCACACACGTAACCAAAATCTCTCGCTAGATGGACTGCTTCTCCTGAAAGGAAGGGTTCGGGGAGACACAAGCAATCAATCCACAACGCTGGGGGAGAGAAGGCAGACACCAAGCTGGCCAAATAACCCCATTATTGCAGTCAATAGGACTTTGCTCTTTTCCTGGAATAGGCCAGACAGTCGCTTCCCGCCTTTGGGTTGCGTTCACATAGCAATGAAGAAGGCGCCAACCTACCAATATTGGTTGGTGCATTTGTGAAATATAAATCAAGGTTTAGAGAAAACGAGGATCCCGGGGTATGACTAATCAGGATGAGAAATTGCTATAGAAAGAGAGAGAGGGCAGTGTTGTTTTCAGAGGATTCCTGAAAGGAACAAACAATTCCTCCTCACTTGGGGTGCCTGGGAGCTTTTGAATCCATTGTTTTAAACCAAGCACAGTTTCCATTGTGAGCATCCCTACTTCCCTTCAGAGACACAACCAATTACAACGCGTTAAAATTTCCTGGTTGGGTGGCAAGGGGAGGGGGAGGGAGGGGCTGGCTCAACTCGGTAATGCTTTCGGCCCTAATTCATACGGATACGTATTTGAGGCATTTGCTTCTATATGTTCCTAACGTACGTCAGAATACTTCATTTCTGTCCTGCAACGAGGAAATTATGAGTTTGTTTTTGTCTGATGTGTTGTAGAAGGTTTTCATGGTCGGAATCACTGAGTTGCTGTGAGTTTTCCGGGCTGTATGACCATGTTCCAGAAGCAATCCCTCCTGACGTTTCGCCCACATCTATGGCAGGCATCCTCGGAGGTTGAGGGGTCTGTTGGAAACTAGGCAAGTAAGGTTTATATATCTGTGGAATGTCCAGGGTAGGAAAGAACTCTTGTCTATTTGAGGCCAGTGTGAATGTTGCAATTGGTCATCTTGATCTTTGTGTTTTGTTTGTTTTTTAATGCAATACCACTGTTTTGGTTCGCTCCTGACACGATAAATAAATAAATCTTGATTAGCATCAAATGACCTTGCAGCTTCAAAGCCTGGCTGCTTCCTGCCTGATGGAATGTTGAAAGAGCATTCAATGGTCCCTGCCACACAGCTGAATAAAAACCCACGTTTTCTGCTTTGAACTGGGATATATGGCAGTGTGGACTCAAGGCCTTTCCACACAGCCCTATGTCCCAGAATATTAAAGCAAAAATCCCACAATATCTGCTTTGAACTGGGCTATCTGAGTCCACGCTCAGATAATGTGGGATTTTCTGCTTTGATATCCTGGGATATAGAGCTGTGTGGAAGGGCCCTCAGATAACCCAGTTCAAAGCAGATACTGTGGGGTTTTCTGCCTTGATATTCTGGGATATAAGGCCGTGTAGAAGGGCCCCCAGATAAACCAGTTCAAAGCAGATATTGTGAGATTTTCTGCCTTGATATTCCGGGTTATATGGCTGCGTGGAAGGGCTAATCAAGGTGGCCAATTGTAACATTCACACTTGGCTCAAGCAGACAAGAGTTCTTCTCCCATCCTAGAAATTCCACAGATATATCAACCTCACTTGCCTACTTTCCAACAGACCCCTTAACCTCCGAGGATGCCTGCCATAGATGTGAGCGAAACGTCAGGAGAGAATGCTTTCTAGAACATGGCCATGCAGCTCGGAAAACTCACAGCCCTATATCCCAGAATATCAAGGCAGAAAATCCCACAGTATCTGTTTTGAGCTGGGTTATCTGTGGGCCCTTCCACACAGCCCTATATCCCAGAATATCAAGGCAGAAAATCCCACAGTATCTGTTTTGAACTGGGTTATCTGAGTCCACACTCACATAATGTGGGATTTTCTGCCTTTATATTATGGGATATAAGGCTGTGTGGATGGGCCCCCAGTGTTTTGGGTTTTTTTGTTTGTTTGTTTTTTGGTCTGCCTTATTTGCTTAGTTCAAGCCCCCTAGAAAGAAAGTGATAAATTATGTGTGGGAAAATACAGTGGTCCTAATGGAACTTCCCCTCTTTTTTTCTCCTTTCCGCATATACTTGAGATTAATATTGATCATCATTACTTCTCAAAGTCCCATAAGTGGACTACATTAAATTGTTAAGTATTTAACTTGATCGCGGGTAATTATCTGCCCCTTCCCTCGTTTTCTTCTTCCCTCTCTCTCTCTCTCTCTCTCTTCGCCCCCCTCCCCTCCCCGCCCCCTTCAAACGATTAACCATAAGAATTTGAGGGTCATTCCACTGAGTCTGTCTGTTTTGTTGATTTTCAAATCTTTGGTTTTAATTTCCTGAACCAGTTGGTTTTTACCGCAGGGCTTCCTGCCATTAGCTCGGGGTCCGGAAGAACGCATGCGCCAATTAGAGCTTCAAAGCCTCAGTCCAGTGAGCTTGTTTCCATAAAATGGAGCGGATCATAAACAATAACAGTACTTTGGAAACTGCCTCATCGCACAGGGACCCACAGCCAAAACAACTGGAGATTATCTCTCCAGGAGGACAAAAAAAAATTAGCCGCTATTATCAGTTTATCTGAGCATTAGTCCTTGCTCCTTTGGTTTGTTTTCTTCCCTGCCAGTGGATCAAACCCTAGTCATTTTCCCAAAGCTCCTTCAGAACTATTAAACCTACATATTAGGGGACATCAAAATAACATGGGCATTAATAACCAGTTTACTTCCTCACTAATTCTTTTTTGTAAGAGAGAAATATTTCTGGGGTTCTCCCCCTCCCTTCCCTCTTTCTGTTTTTGCCCCCTTCAGTGGCTTCTAAGCTTTTTCTCCCCCCTTTGCTCATGTTATATGTATTATTTTATACTTGCTAACCACACTGAGAATGTCCTTGACAATCTCTCAATTGCGACTGACATTTTGAAAAGACGTTAAGATTCATTTTCTTGAACCTTTGAATATGTTTGACTCTTTATTTAGTGGGAGGGGGAAAGAAAGAGAGCGAATAACTCATAAAGCAAAAGAAAACCATTAGCTGATTCTAAGCAAAACGAAAGGATCCAAAACAGCTTAAAAACCACTATACTGGCAGTAACCAAAATTGAGGTTAAAGCCCTCAAAATTTAAAAATAATGTGGGTATTTATCCATATCCACCTCCTTTCAAGCCCCCTTTCAAGCCTGACCACTGTACTTCTTTCCCAGTTTGAAACTCCCCTCCTTGCCCGCCCTTCCTCCTTAAGTTAAAATAATATGTCCACTCCCCCTCCCTACCATCCTGAGAGTTAAAATAGGAAATGGTATCAAAGAAGGTGCCCCATATTCTGCAGCGAAGGAGAACAAAAGAGAAGTTCAGGGGCTGACTGCAAGGCTTTCAGGACACCATTAAATCCTGACTTAGGTCAAGGATTCCCAAACTAATTCAGGAAGTAATGGTCACGCATTTCTCAAATGCAGATGTCAGAATAACTTAAATGATTTACTGGTATGTGGCTTAAAGGAGCAGAGACATATCTTTGGGTAGCTGAAGCACCTAACATTTAAAACTGCTTAGTGATTGACAGAGAATATAATGCTACTGGGTTGGAGAGTTTCATTAATATGTGGCCTGGTCAAACAGTTGATCTCCCAGCCTACCTGTTACATCAAATTAATGTAATATACTGGTTATATACTACATAAAAGGCAATGAGGTTCCTGGTTCAGTTTTTAAACACGAATATTCCAACATCACTATATCTCACAGGAATTTGAATATTTTCTTGGGGTACTGTTAGACTGTTGGTTTGAAATATTAATTGTTTGTGCCAGAAAGTGAGCAAATATGTGATCTTCTTGGTGAAAAGTAGTGTCCTCCTGTATTTTGAACATTTTGACCTGTCCCCTAATGCAGGCCCGCAGCCAGAGGATCTACCCTAGCAAACCTTTTGTATCGTTATCCCAATAGCCCCATGCATATGGGATATCTTGAGCATGGTGATCAGATCATGATATGAAAAAATGTAACAGTTCAAATAACCACCCTGAGAATTTGGGGGGGGGGGGGTAAGCCCCTCAAGCCCCTCCCCCCCTTACATGCCTGCCCTATGAATTTCATAAGATTTTCATATGTTTAGGCAAGGAAAACTCAAAAGTGATTTTGCTAGTTCCTTCCTCTGAGATATATATATTATGCAGCATTGGTGGTCTCCCACCAGGACTGACCCCACTTAATTTCCCTTTGTGGCCCATACAATTATGAAAGAATGGTAGAGATGGTCTTTCTCAAGGTCTGGTGGCTGCTCAGTTGTTGAACTTGAAACCCATACCAGCATGACAAAAATTCTGGGTGTTGAAGTCTGAAACATTTGGAGATGCTCGCACATTTTATATTTGTTTTGTTTTTGTTTCTCAATCTGGGAAGGCCAAAAGAATCAATAATCTGTTGTAATTTTTGGTGCAGATCTGTATAAGTTTATGGTATCTTTACATACGATGGTGCTCATCTTAAACGGACTGTATTCAATAATTCATGCAACATATTAAATTCCTCTGTCATGATTACACCACTAAACGTTCATCCTTATCAACAGTAAAGATAGGCCTGTTTCTAGAAGCCTTTCTCATCACTCTCAATCTCACAAATCTAAACTTTTACATTTACAGTCCTTACATCTATATAACATCTGATCTATATACACCAAGGGGTGTATATAGTTCAGATGTTATTGCACTGTACATGCTATGATCTCTTGACAACAAAGGGCACAGTGAGAAGTGATGGTAGTTGCAGACCAACACCTAGAAAGCCGCATATTATGCCTCATATTTAGTATCCAGAACAGGCATGGACAAACTTGGGCCCTCCAGATGTTTTGGACTCCAATTCCCACAATTCCTAACAGCTAGTAGACTGTTAGGAATTGTGGAAGTTGAAGTCCAAAACACCTGGAGGGCCTAAGTTTGCCCATGCCTGATCTAGAACCAAGTGTCTGTGCAAATCAGCTAAAATATCATAATATGAACATAGGTTTCAAGGATACAAAAATACATACTTTGTCCTAGATAAGGGTAGAAATCACAGTGTTCTAGATCTTAGTGAACTATATCTTCCAGTGGTCCTCACCATGAGCTATACTGACTAGGACTGCTGGAATCCACAGTCCATTAACAGCTGAAGGGTTACAGTCACTACCCCTGTTCTAGATATTTGCATATAATATTTGCATATAATTATATATAAATATAAATATTTGCATGTAATTGTCAGCTTCATGAATAGATTAGTTAACCTGTTGGTTAAATTAAATGTTACCCCTATTTAGATTAGATCCACTAAAATGAATGGACTTCAGTTAGTTGTGAGTAAAACTCCTATTCACTTCAATGCATTCATTAAGTAGGACTAAAGCTGAATTCAGACTGAAAATCAGAATGGTATCAAAAGAACTTAACTGCTGGGTCTACAATGCAGATTGCAGTACATTTGAAATGTCTGAAGTTGAACAAAATTACATCCCTATCTCAGATACGTTTATTTGTAAATAGTAATATTCATGAATTTCCTTATAACACATTTGAAAGGGATTACATTTAGAACAAAATCTTAGGCACCATGACTCAGAAATAAGACTCACTGGAAGCAATAGGCTCTACTTCCTCCTAAGTGTATACAAGGTTGCAATCTCAGGGAGCAGCATTTTATTGATCCAAATTATGTCAAAGGTATAAACAGATTGAATTTTTCTGTTTTGCCTATCCATTAATCTGAAATCCTATAGCTCTATCAGTTTGAGAACCACATTTCAATTACCTATTTTAGCATAATTAATCAGTCCGTTAATCAATTAAAATTGCAATTATTCTGAAAAGAAGCAGCTGCTTTTGAATACATGACCTAGCCAACTTATAGATTGTTTAGAAAACTATAATAACCCAGTCCCTGGTGTCTGAATCAAGATACACACAATGATTGTACATATCACTACTGTACCTCTTTCACTGGAGACTACACTGATTAAAATCCAATTAAAATCCACCATGTCAATCAGTGATTAATAAATTAATCCATTAATTACGCTTACTCAAGTAATATTTTCAGCCCTACTTTTTCAAAAAAAGTGAGTGAAACAATCAGACAGCAACCTAGTTTAAATGAAGTTTTAGAATGTAAGCCAACTTAGTTTCACTGGATTCACCGAGATTTGGCACCCAGAACAATGATTTCAGTCCAAACAGATTTAAATAGAGCCCACTTCCAATTATTTTGACATAAATGGGGTTTTTTTGGACTAGGCTGATGGTTTCAATCCACCTTTTGAAAAAAAATACAAAGCAAAAGGTCAAAATGAATGTTCTCTTCAGTCATGATGATTTAAATCAAGCAATGTGCATAACCATTCCAGGACAGGCCTTCATTCAGAATACTTGTGCTTTGTTCAGTTGACAAATATTTATATTGATACAGTATATGTATGCACACAAACACACACTTCCCAAAGAATGCCCTTCCCAAAGCCAAATCCAAAACCATCACTTACCCTCTACTAGTGATGTCAGCAGGGTAACATTAGCAGCTTTACGTCTCCCGGCTGGCAAATTTAATCCTATTTTGTCCAGTTTTTCTCTCAAAGATCTTCCTCCATTTTTTGATTTTGCTCTGTTCCACACATTAAAAAAACAACAACACTTAACACATGACTAATATCAACCAGATCATATTGCAACTCTGTTCAGACATTTTCCTCTAAAGCTATTTTGCAAATCCTTATTATATAAAGGATATTTAGTGAAATTTCATTCCAGGAAATGTTAAGCGTGGAAGATGTGCCATGAAGGTACAATTAAATGCCATACAGGAAAATGTGCTGAAATATTTCCTTGTGTTTGAAAAAAAAGTATGGAGATAAAACAGCTAAAATTAAGCCCGTTATATTGTTATGGTATCTGCAAGTCATATATGGGCACCAGGCAATCCTTACAGGGGTTATAACATGTTCTGGCAAATTGTGACTGATGGCATAACCCCTTTTAGTGCTTTTACTCATTAATGATCCAAGAGGGACTTGTCTGAGCTAGACTACTTTGCATCATTAACAAAAGTAATTCACAAGAGTCATGTTGTTCTAAAGCAGGCATGAGCAAACTTTGGCCCTACGGGTGTTTTGGACTTCAACTCCCACAATTCCTAAGTCCAAAACACCCGGAGGGCCCAAGTTTTCCCATGCCTGCTCTAAAGGCTAAACTGGAAGATCCAGTGTAACTTTTCAAAGATAGATATGCTTGTCTTTTTAAAAATGGATTGTATCCCTATATTCAGCCAGATACAGCCTAACGCATTCCTTTACTGGAGCATAGCCTTGTAGTTTCCCTTAGTAATGCAATGCTGGCAGTGCCCTCAACTGGTGTGTCTTAGCTTTCAGCAAGTATTGCTAGGAAGTGTGTGGCTTTCTATACTGAAGGGAATGCATTCCTTTTCAGTGTTGACATGAATACTTAGGTGTTCCTTGCTAGGACAAGCTGTCTACTCTGAGTATTTCATTTTACACAAAGATATGAGTTTCACCCTTAAAGCTACAAAAAAAGAATGATTTTTAAAATGCTAATCCTCTCTATGATTTCATTAGCTGGTTTTCTGTATGAGTATTTTGAAAAATATTGGCTGTCATGTGCAGAGGCGGCCCTAGGTAATTTTCAACGGTAAGCAAACAGTATTTTGCCCCCCCCCCCCCAACCAATCACTGATATATATTTTCTGTTCGTCGTGGGAGTGTGCCATATTTGGTTCAATTCTATCATTGGTGGAGTTCAGAATGCTCTTTGATTGTAGGTGGATTATATATCCCAGTAACTACAACTCACATATGTCAAGGTCTATTTTCCCCCAAGAGCGCCTCAAGAGCACCCCTGGGCAAAATCAAGTAAGCAAATGCTTACTTCGCATAATGGGTTGAGCCACCCCTGGTCATCTGGTTGGGATGTCACAAATAAAGTAGACCCATTCAGTGGCTGATTGGTATGACAACACATAGATAAATCGAAGGGGATCTGCTCTACTTAGGACCAAAATAAAATTTAAGCCAACTTGTAGCCTTGTCTCTTTTATAAAGAATTCGGAAGATGTTGGTAAGCCTTGTGGACCACCAGTGGTCCACAAGAACTAAAATTGTTTCCTTGTGAGCTGCAAAATCAACATGGAGGCCCCTTCCACGCAGCTTTATAAAATCCCACATTATCTGCTTTGAACTGGGTTATATGGCAGTATGGACTCAGATAACCCAGGGCCCTTCCAGAGGCCCTATATCCCAGGATCTGATCCCAGGTTTTCTGTCCCTCCCAGATTATCTGGCAGTACAGACTCAGGGTTCTTCCACACAGCCCTATATCCCAGAATATCAAGGCAGAAAATCCCACAATATCCGCTTTGAACTAGATTATAGAATCATAGAGAAGAGACCTCATGGGCCATCCAGTCCAAACCCTTGCCAAGAAGCACTCAGATAAAGTGGGATCTTCTGCTTTGATATTCTGGGGTATAGAACTGTGTGGCAGGGCCCTCATATAATCTATTTTAAAGCAGAAAACCTGGGATCAGATCCTGTGATACGGGGCCTGTCTGGAAGGGCCCCCAGTTCAAAGTAGATATTGTGCATTATCTGCCTTGATATTCTGGGTTATATGGCTGTGTGGAAGGGCCCTGAATGACTGACTCAACAATATCCTTTTCATTACTGGTAGAACCGGAATTTGAACATAGGCCTTCCATGTTCAAAGACTTGAAGGCAACAATACACCCAGAACATTACAAGACCTGGCTACACTGTTTGTTTGTTTGTTTGTTTATTTATTTAAATGACATCTTTCACCTAAGGTGTTCATTTCATCATGCCTCATGGAGCTGGAGCCTCCTGGTTGCATTCTAACCCTTGCAAAATGGATAAACTTTTGCAATAATTAACCCTGAGGTAAAGATTAACCCTGAACATAAATTAAAACAAAGGACACTGGACATTGAGGTCAGACTGAGGAGAGGACAAGAAACACTTCATAGTGAAGTTCTCCCCTTACCACTTTATGTAATACTATATATTTCCAGATATTCTTCTCCCAAAATCTACAAAATCATATTAGGCATATTATACTCAATTTGAGGGAGGGGGGGTGTTCTCGAATTGCACGAACAGACCAGTGAAATGCAATACAAACATTTTGAAATAGTTCCTTGCACATGAAACAACTACATCATTTGTTTGTATGTTTTAAAAATTCAAAACAAGAAAATCTCCCAAGACTTTTGTCAGTGCAACAACTTGAGATTTTGGAGGATGAATGCAGTCAAAAACAGTAGTATCCTAAGCAGTGTAGTTTTACAAGGCCTTTAACATTCTCTGTGAAAGAGTACTGGTGCCTCACCAAACTACAAGTCTTAGGACTACATAGCATTGAGATGTGGCAGTTAAAATGGTGTTGAACTGCATTCATTCTAGGGCAGTGGTTCCCAACCTGTGGTTCATAGACCCCCAGTGGTCCACAAGAACTAAAATATGGTCCGCAGCCTCACCGTTACTACAACGAGATTAACAGGTCTCACAAAATCCTCTTATAGTGTCAAGGCTTATTATATATGGTTTCCTGTCAGTGAGTAAATGGCAGCTACTGGATGGCATATGTTTTGTATCATAAACTAGAGCTGATATGATCAATCCAATGAAATTTTCTGAATCAGCATCCCAAATAATCAAGGTTAAAGGGTAAGGTAAAGGTTTTCCCCTGACATTAAGTCCAGTCGTGTCCGACTCTGGGGGTTGGTGCTCATCTCCATTTCTAAGCCAAAGAGCTGGCGTTGTCCATAGACACCTCCAAGGCCAGCATGACTGAATGGAGCACTGTTATCTTCCCATCGGAGATGTACCTATTGATCTACTCACATTTGCATGTTTTCGAACTGCTAGGTTGGCAGAAGCTGGGACTGACAGTGGAAGCTCATGCCGTTCCCCGGATTCGAACCTGCAACCTTTCGGTCAACAAGTTTAGAAACTCAGTGGTTTAACCCACTGCGCCACCAGGGTTCCCAAATAATCAGACTCTAAAGTTGACCAAAAACTTGATTCTAATGTTGGAGAATGGTCCCTGGTCAAGTGGTTACTGGTCATTAAAAAAATTGGGAATTACTGTTCTTGGGTGTAGAATAGGTATGGGCAAACTTCAGCCCTTCAGGTGTTTTGGACTTCAACTCCCACAATTCCTAACAGTCTACCGGCTGTTAGGAATTGTGGGAGTTGAAGTCCAAAACACCTGACCAGCTGAAGTTTGCTGGTATAGAAGTACCTCCTAATTTTTCATTATGTTTGGGGAAGAACCTTAGTGTCTTCATTTCAAACACATCTCTGAGGAGAAAAGAGGCCCTCTGGCTCTCATGAGGCCTTGGCCTTTTTTGTTTCATAAGGTGAGCCTTGCAGGGGATGGTGGCAAATTGCCGCCTTTGGAGGGAGCCTCAGGATTGGCTGAGCCGCAACCACGCGCCGGCTCTCCTCCAATGGGCTCCCTTCCCTCCAAAAAGCGCGCGCCCGCCCGCCCGCCAGGTGACTGTTCTCTCAGGGTCCAGAGCCAGAGTTGCCTTCTCCTCACCTTCGAAGCACTCCGCCCAGTAGCGACGCGTTGAGGCACTCCGGCGGGGAGAGGCGGCGCTGCACCTCGGCCACGGTGACCTTGTACTTGGAGGTGGAGCTGAGGAGCGAGAGGCGGCCGGGCACCGAGCAGAAGACCTCGTTGGGGTTCACCACGCCGCCAAAGAGCGTGTCTTTGTTCATGGGGATGGAGGAAACAGCGTTGGATTTGGAGAGGGACACGGGGCCTGCGAGAGGGGGAGAAGCATAAGTTCACCACCACTGCGAGGATTCGCCAAAGGCCGGAGGAGCCTGAAGGGATGGGGAGGGGAGGAGGAGGGGAGGGCAGGGAGGCAGCATGGGAGCTTTCTGCAAGGAGGAGGATGGGATAAAACACCAGGAAGCTTTGATGGATGGGCTCTTATGGGAGACATTGGCAAAAACTCAATAATACTCTGCAAGGAAGCAGATGAAACAATAGATCACATCTTTAGCTGCTGCAAGAAGATCAGGAGGACAGACTACAAGCAGAGGCATAACACCATTGCTCAGATGATTCATTGGAACTTGTGCCACACATTCCTTCCTGCTACAAGGAACTGGTGGGATCACAAGCCAGAAAAAGTTACAGAGAATGAACACGTCAAACTCCTCTGGGATTTCCGAATTCAGACAGACTGAGTTTTGGAGCACAATACTCCTGACCTCACAACCATGTTAAAAAACAAAGTATGGATTGTCGATGTTGCAGTCCTAGGTGACAGCAGGATTGAAGAGAAACAACTGGAAAAGCTGACACCATATGAGGATTTAAAGATCGAACTGCAAAGACTGTGGCACAAGCCAGTCAAGGGGGTCCCAGTGGTGATCGGCACACTGGGTACAGTGCCTAAAGACCTTGGCATGCACTTAAACAAAATTACCATCTGCCAGCTGCAGAAGGCCACCTTACTGGGAAATGCACGCATTATCCACAGATACATCACACAGTCCTACACACTTGGCAAGTGTCCTATGTGTGATCCAATACAACAGCCAGCAGAGTGATCTTGTCTGCTGTGGACTCATCTTGTTGTGTTTCAAATAATAATAATCTTTATTTATAACCCAATGTTATGGAATCCCAAGAGTTGTCGTTTTGCAAAGTCTTTCTTTGTTTAGTGCTGATGCCTCACCAAATTACAATGGCGAGGATCCCATAGCATTGAGCCATGGCAGATAAAGTAAACTGCAAGGATGCGCCACGGAGGCTTCACTCCAGTTGCGCATGCGCCCAACGCAGAACCCCCTGAAAAGGACGACAAGGAAAAGGTATACGGGCAAAACTACAACTCTCCTTTCCATTGGACGGGCTGCCGAAGGCAAACAGGCTGCTAGACCACCTAACTCGGTCTAGGGCTGTGGTCCTCAACTTGTGAGTCCCCAGATGTTTTGTCCTTCAACTCCCAGGAATCCTAACTGCTGGTAAACTGGCTAGGATTTCTGAAAATTGTAAGCCAAAACACCTGGCGACCCACAGATTGAGAGCCATTGGTCAAGGGCCCCTTCCACACAGCTGAATAAAACCCCACATTATCTGAACTGGAATATATGGCAATGTGGACTCAGATAACCCAGTTTAAAGCAGGTATTATGGGATTTTCTGCCTTGATATTCTGAGATATAGGGCTGTGGAAGGGCCCTGGGTTGCTGTGAGTTTTCCGGGCTGTATGGCCATGTTCCAGAAGCATTCTCTCCTGACCTTTCGCCCACACCTATGGCAGGCATCCTCAGAGGTTGAGGGGTCTGTTGGGGCTTATATATCTGTAGAATGTCCAGGGTGGGAGAAAGAACTCTTTTCTGCTTGAGGCAAGTGTGAGTGTTGCAATTAGCCACCTTGATTAGCACTGGGCCCTTCCAGACAGCCATATAACCCAGGATATCAAGTTAAAATCTCACAATATCTGTTTGCACTGAAGGTCCTGCCACACAGCCCTATATCCCAGGATATCGAGGCAGAAAATCCCACATTATCTGAGCGTAGACTCAGTTCAAAGCAGATATTGTGAGATTTCCTGCCTTTGTATTCTGGGATATAGGGCTGTGTGGAAGAGCCCTGAGTCCACACTGCCCTATATCCCAGTTCAAAGCAGAACATGTGGGATTTTATTCAGCTGTGTGGAAAGGGGCATTGAATGCCCTTTCAGCATTCCACCAGGCAGGAAGCAGCCATGCTTTGAAGCTGCAAGGCCATTCAATGCTACTCAAGGTGACCAATTGCCACCTTTACACTTGCCTCAAGCACAGGCTGTGTGGAAGGGCCTTAAGATGGGCTTTCCAGGACACACCAAGTTTAGATGTAGCCTTTTTTTTTCCTTTTGGGGTAAAGAAATGTGAGCTTCAAATACCCATTAGCTATTTCTTGAACTCAATTAAGCTTTTCAAAAGGAGCTGGCGCAAGGCAGAGAGGCACAAACAAGACCAGTGTCTCTAGTCTTGAGGCCTTTCCTCCCCCCCAAAAGAGAAGGGCCAATCTGAAACTGGGGTTGTGTCAAGGCGTCTGGCTTCCCATTGGGCGGGGGGGAAAGAGGCGGGGCTTAGCGGGACCTGCCACTCCAGGGCTCCCCTAAAGGCCTCCAGAGGCAACCAAGTCCTATTGATTTCGCGGGGAACTTACAGCCAAATCAGTGTCCTGAAGGCTGTCAGGGAACCTACCGCCCAGGGAGCCATAGAAATGCTTTATCTTCAGCGCTGCCGCTGATGTTTCAATAGCAACAGAGCTCTGGATAGTGTAATGCCACCCTTTTCTCGGTTTAGAGGAGTCCCAATATCTGAATTGATTCCAAACCATTGGCTTGGCAGTCTTTTCCGTCTGGAAAGCCGGAGGGGGAAGGGAATCTACTTTCCGTCGCCAAGAGCAGCGGACAGTTCAGTCCTTTGTTTGAATGAGAAACGCACAACCCAAACAATGCGAGGAAACAAAGTCATTCCTCTCTCTTTCGCCTTCTTCCCCTTCCAGGACAGAAAGGATCTGGGGGGCATTCTTAAAATCCGCAGAACTCTCCAAGCATTTCTCGTTGTAGCCAAACATACGTGGAAAAAATAAGGGAAGCCTCGCTTGCATGCCATGGCCGTTGTCTTCCCGCTCCAGCCCCGGCCACACTCTAAATATTTACTCTTTTGTCATCCTCTGTTTATTCCCTTCGTTCCCAATCCCTTCTCCTTCCGCAACCTCCTAATCCAAATGTGCAAAGGGGGAGATGGAGCCGGGAAGGAGGGGAGATATCTAGGTTTTGGATAGATCACTTGTGACATTAATAGCTCTGGGGAGGCTAATAGAGACAATAGGAGTTAAACGAACTCTTGAGATTACTAATAAAAGAGCCAATTATCATGTCGACTTGGAAAGAGCATCTCTTTAAGATTTATTCCTTGCACATCTAATTTGACGTGACAAAGGCTCCCCAGATTGGGGGAGGTGGGGGGGGGGGAAGGGGAAGGAGGAGGTGAAACTTTAGCTTCCCATGTACAGTGCCGAGGTTTCCAAAAGAGAAGGGCTTGACAGAGCATCAGACCTTGGCAAGTTCTTCAAGCATCCAAACACTCCGCCATGGCGAAGGTAAACAAGGGACCTTTTGTGTTGTCGAAGGCTTTCATGGGTTTGCTATGAGTTTTCCCGGGCTGTATGCCCATGTTCCAGAAGCATTCTCTCCTGACGTTTTGCCCACATCTATGACAGGCATCCTCAGAGGTTGTGAGGTCTGTTGGAAACTAAGCAAGTGAGTGGGTTGTTGTAGATTTTTTCGGGCTATCTGACCATGTTCTAGAGARATTCTCTCCTGACGTTTCGCCTGCATCTGACCTCACAARCTCTGAGGCGAAACGTCAGGAGAGAATGCCTCTAGAATATGACCAGATAGCCCGAGGTTGTGACCTCACAACCTCTGAGGATGCTTGCCATAGATGCAGGCGAAACGTCAGGAGAGAATGCCTCTAGAGCATGGCCAGATAACACGAGGTTGTGACCTCACAACCTCTGAGGATGCTTGCCATAGATGCAGGCGAAACGTCAGGAGAGAATGCCTCTCTAGAACATAGCCAGATAGCCCGAAAAACTTACAGCAACCCAGTGATTCCAGCCATGAAAGCCTTCGACAATACATTAAGCAGGTAAGTAAGGTTTATATAAGTAAGTACGTAAGGTTTATATATCTGTAGAAGGTCCAGGGTGGGAGAAAGTACTCTTGTCTGTTGGAAGTGTGAGTGTTGCAATTAGCACTGAAAAGCTTTGCAGCTTCAAAGCCTGCCTGATTTCATACAGTGGACTATTTCAACATAAAGGAGGAAACTATGAAAATGAACAAAATGTGGTTACCAGTATTTAAAAGAACTCAAAAAATCAGCGCAGTAAATAAAGAAAAACACTCTGAAAACAAGGGATTCCTCCCAACAAAGGATTCCCTCGAGCAGGAATCATCCAGGAGCCCCCGGTGGCGCAGTGGGTTAAACCCTTGTGCCGGCAGGACTGAAGACCGACAGGTTGGAGGTTCGAATCCGGGGAGAGCATGGATGAGCTCCCTCTGTCAGCTCCAGCTCCCCATGCGGGGACATGAGAGAAGCCTCCCATGAGGATAGTAAAACATCAAAACATCCGGGCGTCCCCTGGGCAACGTATTTGCAGACGGCCAATTCTCTCACACCAGAAGGGACTTGCAGTTTCTTAAGTCGTTCCTGACACGACAAAAAAAAACAAAACGCCAGGCCTTGAAGCTGTAAGGCTTTTCAGTGCTAATCAAGGTGACCAAATGCAACATTCACACTTGCCTCCCTGGACCTTCCACAGATATATAAACCTCATTTGCTTAGTTTCCAACAGACCTCACAACGGCTGAGGATGCCTGCTATATAGATGTGAGCGAAACGTCAGGAGAGAGTGCTTCTGGAACATAGCCATACAGCCCGGACAACTCAGAACAACCCAAGGGCCCTTGTCCTCCAACTAATTACGAAACAAACGTTCCAATCCGAGGAATTATTTTCAACCAAAACATGGTAGCGACAAAACAAGAACAAAAACCTTGGGGGACATAACAAGAACCCGAAATTACGCGCGCTCATTTGGAAGGGGTGGAGAAAGACTCTTCTCTTATAGACACACAACAATAACAGCAACAGCAGCAACCCCACACCGTTGGGAAGCAGCAGGAGAATTCATCCTGTTTCTGTCATTTCTAAAAGCAAGCCTGGGAGAGAGAACACCCCCTTTTCTTTCCCTCTTCCCTTCCCTTCCGCCATCCTCTCTGGCTTGTTGCAACAAAGCCCTCTGATGTCAACAATCCCGGACAATCTCCTAAAGCTGAAGTTGGGGCGGGGGGAGAGAGAAAGCGGAGTATTGTGGAGCTGGAAGAGGGGGAATCTCCGCTTTATTTCGCCACGAACACTCATTCTCGTGCAAGGAGAAGCCGAGCCCTGAACTCCGAATGGGATTAGGGAGAACTCAACCCGGGGATCCCTTTAGCTAGGGAATATAATCGCGCGGAGACACACAATCACAGGGGTGGGAATTAAGGCAAAGGTTGGTTTGCAACCGGGACTGTCAATTTCGTTTTCTCCCCATTTCCAAGCCTGTTGTAAATTACGTTTGTGGGGGGAGGAGGAAAAGAGGAGGGAGGGAGAAGGGAAACAATAGCTCCTCCAGCAAGTTCTTTGGGCGAGAGTACCGAGCTTGTGAAGACATGCTTGGAATGCGCAAGGAAACGGCTTACCTTTCTTAATTACAGTTTGATCTGGGATGTTAAGACCGGGGTCCTCTACGTGCTGCAACAAAAGGGAGACACACGACGTGAATGACAACGAGAAAACCCCCACTGACCACTGCTTTTCCCTTTAGTTCCTTTTCCTATCACCACCTTATTTTTGAGAAGGGAAATATTGACATATGATGCAATCGATGCCTAAAATTGTAGGAAAATATGGATATATAACTGCGTTGGAGAGAAAGGTGGCTAAAACGTGTTTATTCCGAAGTAATACCTCTTGAAGGCCTTCGAGGAGCAAAGTAACCCTTGCTGGGTTTACTCAGGAGACAAAAATTGGGCTTCCTCGCTCTGTGTGTTGTGCTTTTTTAAAACTATCGGGAATGAACATAATGCCACAATCATTCTGGTGGAATTATTTCCACCGCCCTTTGGTACAAAAGCAGCACTAGGTGTGGGTTTGAGAGGGAAACCACAACAATGGGAAGCCTTGCAGAAAGCAAGCAAGGGGGAGGAAAGGGTTGGGAAGGCAAGGCCAGCCCAGGCTCCCTTTCCGGGGGTCTGGGGAGAGGGAGAAGGCGCCCCGAAGGAGGGGAGCCCTTTGGGTGGCTATTGTCTGCTCCTGGTTTGCAACTCTCCTGGAGAGAGCTCTGAGTGACACGCGTGCGCGCGCGTCCACGGGCAGCAGCCGCAAGGGCGCTCCAGACGTGATTAGAAAGTAAAATCGGGGTGCTTGGGGGGTGGAGGGCCGTGTTTCTAATTCCCCGCCTGCCTGACAATGCCTCTGGTGTGTGTGCCTGTGTTTACCAATGACTCAGAAAAAGAGAGAAGGGAAAGCAATCTCCAGCGGGTCCCCCAATGTGGAAACCCCCTTTCTGCCCGCCCTTGGCGCCCCCAAAACCTCTTCCCTTCCTCCCTCCAGCCCTCACATTCCCCATTCCTCTCTGGATTTATGCTCCTCTTAATTGCGCCTGATCTCAACGATTCCGGGCGGATGGTACGAAGTTGCTTTATTACAGGTTTTATTGTACTCAATGCTCTCATTTGTAACTTGCCTAAAGTGCTTCTGGATCTGAGCATAATTAAATTGAGAAATGTGCAGAAATGACGGCGGCGGAGGCAGTTTGCTTTGGATCTTTCTTCCTTTTTTGTTGTTGTTGTTTTTTTTTAACTATATGGGGAAATATGATCCCTTCAAACCGGCGGCCCCTCCACTCATAAAGCAAATGTAGTGGGGCGTAACGCTTTGATTTGTCTGATTTCTCCCCCTCGATGGGAGTCCGAGAGAAACGCCACCGACTGCTCGGGTTTTAAAATCCCGCCGAGATCTTTATGCCGAAATAATTCTCGCCTTGGCTGGAAGCAGCTCTTCCGGGCCGAGAAGCAGCCGCCTTTCTATGGAAAGGTTAACAAGGCGGGCATTTAAAATAATCCTTTTCCACCACCCGGATCTCTTCTCCCCCCACAGAATTTCTCTCTTTAGAGGCACCCAATAAAGGAGCCGAGGGTCAAAAGCGCCATTTTTGCGACTGCTTAATATCTCGCCTTAACTGATTTCGAGATTAGGATCCGACTCCATTTAAAAAGAAAGTGGATTTCATGTACACACACTCGATAATTTTAGTTTTTTAGATCCAGATCTAAGGAAGCATTATCCTGACAGCAAACAGAATATCGCCTGTTTGCAATTTAATTTGGAGGTTATAATACAATGTATTGTTGATGGCTTTCATGGCCAGAATCACTGCGTTGTTGTGAGTTTTCCGGGCTGTTCGGCCATATTTCAGAAGCATTCTCTCCTGACTTTTCACCTGCATCTGCAAACTCAGAGGCTGTGAGGTCTGTTAGAAACTACGAAAATGGGGTTTATATACCTGTGGGATGTCCAGGGTGGGAGAAAAAATTCTTGTCTGTTGGAGGTAGGTGTGGATGGTTCAATTGGGCACTTTGATTAGAATTTAATGGCCTAGCAGTTTCAAGGTCTGGCTTCCTACTGCCCGGGGGAATCCTTGTTGGGAGGTGAAAACAATCAGGGCCAGCTAATCCGTTGTCCCGGCTGTATGGCCATGTTCAGAAGCATTTTCTCCTGACGTTTTTGCCTGCATCTATGATAGGCATCTTCAGAGGTTGTGAGGTCTGTTAGAAACTAGGAAAACGGGGTTTATATATCTGTGGAATATCCAGGGTGGGAGAAATAATCTTTGTCTGTTGGGCACCTTGATTAGCATTTAATGGCCTAGCAATTTCAAGGTCTGGCTTCTTACTGCCCGGGGAATCCTTTGTTGGGAGGTGAAAACAATCAGGGCCAGCTAATCCCTATGATCCCCAGCTATCTCCTTTTGCAAACACACCGAAATCAAAGCCAGGCCCGGCAGGGGCAATGGTTGCTCCTATTAGGAAAATGCCCATCGATTGCAGAACTGGGTTGTTGTGAGTTTTCCGGGCTGCATGGCCATGTTCAGAAGCATTCTCTCCTCAGAGGTTGAGAGATCTGAGGCATCAGGAGAGAATGCTTCTGGTGCCGGAAAACTCACAACAACCCGGTTATAATACAATTCTAACAAAAACGAAATCCCAACAAAGGGAAACACTGATTTTCTTTCCTCTTTCTCCAGACAACAGAAACCCCGCCTGATGTCAGATTATATTTCACATCCTTGATATCTAAACACACGTGCGAGGAAGTCAAATTATCTGCTATTCGAGATCTCTAAAATCCACTTTCTGCTTTTAACGGAATTCTTTCTTATTAGCTTTCCCTCAATGCAAATTTGACATAGAGCTGCGGCCCAGTCTCCTCAGATGTAAATCCCATTGAGATCCATGGGTTTGACTCCCAAGAAAGGATGATAGGGGCGAGTGCAGCCTTCCAAACGATTCCCATGCCCCTCTTTTCTCTTTCCCATTCCAAAAAGGCGCATCCCCCTCCCCGCATCTTTCCCCCAATGGCTTCGCCCCTCAATCCCACCTTTGCCCCTCAATTTCAGAATCGCTGCATTTGTGGCAAACCCTCATTTTCCTAGGATGAAATCCTAGTCGGTGTGTAAAAGGTTCCCGATTCCTCATCAAGAACTTTTTATAAAGGGGGAGGAATTTTCCTGAACCAAAACAGGGGACGAAATCATTAAACTGTCAACTGGATATAGTGGGGGTGATATCTGATACTATAATCCGAGGGTGTCCTTTTAGCAACACAACAAGGACAAGGGGAGGGGGAGAGAAAAACCCATCTCCACCCCACAGGCCTTCTTCTCCGGCCGACCCACAAAAGGTCTGTCTCTCTGCTTGGAAGCAGCCACCAAACCACCGGCCTGTCACTAAATTGTTTTCTCTGTCGAGGCCGGGAAGGGAGGGACTCTTTGGGGAAGCCCTGCCTTCTCCGTGCAAGTCCAGCCTTGCCGAGAATGCCCTTTACGGATCAGGCAAACCCTCTCCACCAAGCCAAGGACGCTCAGAGATCTCCAACTACAAAGCCCCGTCCTTGGCTCGCTTGGGTTTTTTTCCACCTGCCTGAGGGAACAATCCTCGCCATTTGCGTTAGCTTTCCTACTCTTCCTTCCCCATCCGGTTCCATTCAGTGCTTCCATCCTCGAGAACGCTGGGTGTTTTGGTGGAGAATGTCTTTGTTTTGGGGGAGGGAGGAAGAATTTGGACTTCCTTCCTCCCTCCCTCCCTCCCTCCCCCTCTCTCTCCCCCTCTCTTTCTTTCTTTCTTTCTTTCTTTCTTTCTTTCTTTCTCTAAGACTCGGGATGGAAAAGAGGGTTGTAAAACCACAACTCCCAAGACACCATAGCATCGAGCCATGGCAGTGGTCTCGAACTACAATAATCCTAACTCTTGGAATAAGCAGATAGGATCCTGTGGTGTGGTTGGTCGCTAAATTGGGGAGGAATCACCTCACTTAAAAAAAAAACTCCTTCTATTAGTCCTATATGTGCCCAAGAAGAGGAGAGGTGGGAAGAGAGGCTTGGAAATTCTCACTTAATTCTTTATTATTATTATTATTATTACAAGATTAGTACACAGCAAACAAGATCACTATACTGGTTGTTGTATTGGATCACACGTCGGACCCTTCCCAAGCGTATTATTATTATTATTATTATTATTATTATTATTATTATTATTATTATTATTATTATTATTATTATTCTGTCTACAGTATAGATGCTGCCAAGGAAGGAAGGGAGTTGGGAAGAAAGGGCTGGAAATTCTCAGTTCTATGGTGTCGTATTAATTCTACAGTGTAGATGCACCCTTAGAAGAGAGAGAGGTGGGAAGAAAGGGCTGGAAATTCTCACTTAACTTATTATTATTATTATTATTATTATTATTATTATTATTATTATTATTATTATTATTATTATTCTACAGTGCAGATGCACCCTAGGAAGAGATAGAGGTGGGAAGAAAGGGTTGGAAATTCTCACTTAATTCGATACATAATAATAATAATACTAATAATAATTCTACAGTGTAGATGCGCCCAAGGAAGAGGAAGTGGTGCGAAGAGAGGGTTGGAAATCCTCACTCAGTTCTATACTATATTGTTATTATTTCTACAGGGAGAGGTGGAAAGAGAGGAGTACACATGATCACTGAATTCGACCGTACATAATTAATTCCACAGTGTGGATGCACCCATGGAAGAAAGAGAGGTGCGGGGAGAGGGGTTGAAATTCTCACTTAATTCTATACTATATTATTATTATTATTGTTATTATTATTAATTAATTATACAGTGTAGATGCACACAATGAAGGCAGAGAGGTGGGAAGAGAGGATTGGAAATTCTCACTTAATTTTAATATTATATTATTCTTTATTATTATTATTATTATTATTATTATTATTATTATTATTATTGAAGAGAGAGAGAGCTAAGGGAAGAGAGGGTTGGATTTCTCACTTGGTTCTATAGTATATGATTAAGTCGACAGTGTGGATGCACCGAAGGAAGAGAGAAAGGTGGGAAGAAAGGCTTGCTAATCCTCACTTAATTCGACTCATCACTCTACAGTATAGATGATCCCAAGGAAGGCAAAGAGGTAAGAAAAGAGATGGGAAGAGAGGGTTGGAAATTCTCACTTAATTCTATCCTATATTATTATTATTATTATTATTATTATTATTATTATTATTATTATTATTATTATTTCTACAGTGTAGATGCACCAAAGGAAGAGAGAGGGGGGTGGGAAGAGAGGGCTGGATTTCTCACTTAGTTCTATAGTATATGATTAATTCCACAGTGCGGATGCAACCAAGGAAGAGAGAGGTGGGAAGAAAAACTTGCAAATTCTCACTTGATTCGAATCTACACCCCACAGTGTAGATACGCTCAAGGAAGGCAGATAGGTGGGAAGAGAAGTGAGAAGAGAGGATTGGAAATTCTCAGTTAATTCTGTACATTATTATTATTATTATTATTATTATTATTATTATTATTATTATTATTATTATTTCTACAGTGTAGATGCACCCAAGGCAGAGAGTGATGGGAAAGGAGGATTGGAAATTCTTACTTAATTCTATACTTTACTGTTATTGTTATGATTATTTCTACTGTGAAGGTTCACCGAAGGAACGAATCGAGGTGGGAAAGGAGGATTGGAAATTCTCACTTAATCCTATACTTTATTGCTATTGTTATTATTATTTCTATAGTGTGATACACCCAAGACAGAGAGAGAGATGGGAGGAGAGGGTTGGAAATTCTCACTTAATTCTATTTATTATTATTATTATTATTATTATTATTATTATTATTATTATTATTATTTGAAACACAACAAGATGAGTCCACAGCAGACACTCTGCTGGCTGTTGTATTGGATTAATAATATTAATAATAATAATAATAATAATAATAATGCTATTATTATGATTATTATTTCTATAGTGTAGATGCACCCAAGGCAGAGAGAGAGAGAGAGGTGGAAGAGGAGGGTTGGAAATCCTCTTTTTCCATCAGCTGAGGGTGGAGAGAGAGAGAGGAAGACGCTGGCCCCCAGCCCCGAGCCCCGGAAACCCTAGGGGAGAGCCTTGGGGAGGGCTTCTCCTTACATACCGAGACGTCTTCCAGCGAGTGGGGGATGGCGTGGATGGGCAGGTCTCCCAGTCCGGCGCCCAGCCCGTGGGGCCCGTGGAGAAGGTCCTCGTGCCGCCGGTAGTCCCTGCGAGGGTCCAGGCCGGAGAGCTGGTGGGGCAGGCCGCGGTGGGAGTGGAGGAGGCCGGCCTCCTGGTTCTGCCTCTGCCCGGGCCAGCCCGGGTGCTGGGGCTGGGGCTGGGCGTGCAGCGGGTTCAGGCTGTAGGGGTCGCTGACGTGGGCGTAGGGGTCCTGGGACTGCGGGTAGATGGGCTGGTAGGGCGGGGGGAAGTAGGGGGGCTGGAAGTCGGCGTTGGGGGTGTGCGAGAGCGGAGGGGCGCTGCTGTAGGGCGACTGGCCCACCGAGCCCAGCTGCGGCAAGCGGCCCGTCCCGTTGCTGGCCCCGTCGTGGCGGTCCTGGGCAAGGAGACAGGCAATGGGGCGAGGAGAGAAGGGGAGACAGAGACGGAGGTCACAATCGGGCGGGCAGACTTGCAGATTCCCAACAAAACCACCCTCCAAACACTCCCACATATAACCCAGACTCCCCACAATAAACCCACCCCAGATCAGTGCCAAACAAAACAAATAGCAAAACAAAAAGCAGCTCTGGAGCTTTCAGAGCTCCTGAATGCCATCTGCATCTTTCCAGTGCATCTATATTAATAATAAGAACAGTGAATCTGTATCAATAACAATGAATAGCAGTCGAGGGGACAAGAAGGTCCATCCACTGGGATTAGAATGAAGGGTGACTCCTTCCTTCCTTCCTTCCTTCCTTCCTTCCTTCCTTCCTTCCTTCCTTCCTTCCTTCCTTCCTTCCTTCCTTCCTTCCTTCCTGGGAAAGGTCACTGTTTCTTTTCGTTTGGTGAGAAAATGGAAAAATTTAAATCACATCTCTCTCTCCTGTGTGTGTCTTGAAACGTTGAGGCATCCTTTGCACCCCAAAAATGAAACGAGAGAGACCAAGCCTTATAATTGTTCGTTTTTTTCTAAGCCAAAAATTCATGTGTGTGTGTATATATATATACACACATACATACATACACAAAACCACATTTCAGTAGTCTCTTTTTGAGAAATTTGCATATATGTGTGTGAGTGAATTATATATATGTGTGTCTGTATGTGAATTATATATTTTTATGTGTGTGTATATGTGTGTGTGTGTTATACACACACAGAGACACAAATGCCAATTTCTCAAAAATAGACGATTGAAATGCGAGCCAAATCCGGTTTTGTATTTGCAAGAGGAGGAGGAAGAGAGTTGTGAGAAGGACAAGCCGTCAAAATGCATTGTTGGTTGCAACTGTATTCTAATAATATTATTCTAATAATAATAATAATACACAGCCTGTGCTGATAGATAGGTACAGAACTCTCTAAACAAAGATGACATAGATATATTTCTGAACACACAAAATGATTAAATATTTTTGGGGGAAAGCAATGACAAAAAGATAAAACAGAAACAGAGGAAAAGCGGGCCGGGAAAAGAAGAGGAAAGCAAATGTAAATGACTTTTGCAATGGGTGCAATTGGGACTTCGGTGGTTATGAGATTATAGCCCACAGGTATGTCTACAGGCAATTAACAGCCACACAAATGCAAAGTGGGGGATGGAGCCGAGTTGGGTTGGGGAGAATATATGTGTGTGTGTGTGTCCCCAACCTAACATATATATATATAATGGAAGTTGAAGACCTTTCACTCTATGTATATATATATATTCTCCCCAACCCACTTCCATCTTCCAGATAGATAGATAGATAGATAGATAGAAGATGGAAGTTGAAAACCTTTAACTATATATATATATAGTTATTCTCCCCAACCCAACTTCCATCTTCCATCTATATATATAGATGGAAGATGGAAGTTGAAGACCTTTCACTATATGTGTGTGTGTGTGTGGAAGATGGAAGTTGAAGACCTTTCTATATATATCTCTGTGTGTGTGCATGTGTGTGTGTGTATATATATTCTCCCCAACCCAATGTCCACCTTCCATATGTGTGTGTGTGTGTGTGTGTGTGTGTGTGTGTGGAAGTTGAAGACCTTTCACTATATATATATAAAATGTGTGTATGCTAAAAGGTCTTCAACTTCCATCTCCCAAGAAGCAGAAAAGATCTGTAGAGGGAGAGGGGGGACGATAACAACGAAAGCAAAAAAAGGGGGGGAGGAAAAACAATGGAGGGGAGTGGAAGCCCTTTGTGGCGACCTGGGCGCAGCCGGAGGGCTCCTCAAAGAAGCGGGGTGTTGCTCTGAAAGAGAAGGGCTAGGAAGCCAGGTCTGGGTGGGATGCGGGAGAGGAAGGAAGCCAGGCAGGGTCGGGGGTCTCAGCGCGGTTTCGCCCTCCTCCTCCTCCTCCAGCCCCAGCCCCGAAGAAGAGAAATCTGGATCCACTCACCATCGCCGAGAAACTGTGAACTAACATCTGCGAGGTTTGCGGGGCGACGGAGTCAAGGCAGGAGGAGAAAAAAAAGGCAGAGAAAAAAAAAGTATGGCTCTTTGCTCTGGAGCGCGCTCTCTCGCTTCCTCGTCTCCCCTTCCTTCCTTCCTTCCTTCCTGGCTCTTCCTGTCCTAAGCTGCCGCTTTCCCAGCTTCTTTCTCTCTCTCTCTCTTTCCTTCTCTTTCCCTCTTTCGTATCCACACTCACACAATGGGAAGAGAAGCCTAGACTGCCCCCAACCCCAGTCCCCAGCGCCCAAGCTGCCGCTCCGCCCGAGCCGGGAACCGCAGGCGAAGAGAAGCCATCCGAACTGGACCCCAAACGCAGCAGCTCGAGGCGAGAGGAAGCAAAGTTGAGCGTGTGAAAGAGAGAGAGAGAGAGAGAGGAGAGAGAGAGAGAGGGTGCGTGTGGGCGAGAGCGCATGTGTGTGCGCCCCCTCCCTCTTCCCTCTGCCCTCCCCTCCTTTGACTTCACGTGAGAGAGAGAGAGAGAGAGAAAGAGGCAGAGAGAGAGAAAGGAGAAAAATCCGCCGCTTGCTTTTCTCCCTAATAGCGAGAGTCCCTAATAGCAGATATTCATGACTATTAATATTACACGAAGACTTAATAAGGGAAGAATAGCTGGAAATCGAGCGTGAAGCGAGGCGGCGACTCAAGGCAGAGTCTGTTCTAAATGACGTCCATTGAAGGGAAGGATCAGGGGATCTAATCAGGGAGGGAGGGAGGGAGGGGGAAAGGAGGGAGGGAGACACAAAAAGGAGGAGGGGGAGAGAGAGAGGGAGAAAGAGAGAGAGAGGCGTCTGACGAATCACAGGGAAGGGGCCACATTTTAAAAGGTTCCAAAGCCTGGGAAGAGAAAGAGAAAGGAGCCAGGGAGGCAGAGAGTGGAGAAGGCCGAAGAGGGAAAGAAAAAGAAGGGAAGGAGGAGGAAGAAAAGGGGAAAAGAGTGGATAGAAGGGGGAAAGGAGAGCCCAGAGCCGAGGGAAGGGGTTTGAGCCCAGGGCGCACCTGGGGCGGCGGGGCGAAGGCGGAGAAGCTGCCCTCCGGGGCCTCCTCCTCCTCCCCCACCTCCTCCTCCTCCTCCTCTTCGTCGGGGCCCACGCTCCTCCCCGGCTCTTTCTCGGGGCCCGTCTGCTCCGTGGCGGGGGCCTCCGTGGCGGCCTCCATGGCGCAAGGGCCCCCTCTCTCTCCCGGCTGGATCCCCGTCGCGGCCCCGCCGAGCTGCCTCTCCCCGGTTTTGGGTTCGGGGGGAGAGAGGTAGGAAGGGAAAGGAAGGCAGGAAGGAAGGAAGGGAAAGGAAGGGGTGGCGACTGCTGCTCTGCCGGCCCGGACAAGCTCAAGCTCCCAGCTCCTCAACCCGTCCGACTGGCTCGGCAACTCCTCTGCCGCCGCCATAGGCGCCCTGCTCCCCTTTTCCTCCCTGCCGCCTCTGCAGAGCTCGCAAGCACAGCCTCTCCCCCACCCGCCCTATCTACATTTCCCGTTTAACGCAGTTTCGACTCCCGAACTCCCACCAAAGGCGCAAAACAAAGAAGAAGAAAAAGCGCCCTTCGCGCGCGTGCACCAGCCCTCTGCGGTTGTGGCCTCACCAGCCAGGCCTCTAAGGGCCCGTCCACACAGCCCTTTATCCCAGAATATCAAGGCAGAAAACCCCACAATATCTGCTTCGAACTGGGTTGTCTGTAGGACCTTCCACACAGCCCTATATCCCAGAATATCAAGGCAAAACCCCCCACAATATCTGCTTAGAGCTGGGTTATCTGTGGGCCCTTCCACACAGCCCTATATCTCAGAATATCAAGGCAGAAAATCCCACATTATCTGAATTTGGACTCAGATAACCCAGTTCAAAGCAAATATTGTGGGATTTTTCTGCCTTGATATTCTGGGATATAGCGCTGTGTGGAAGGGGCCCCAGCCTCTCCCCCACCGATCCCATCTACATTAGCCATTTAACGCAGTTCCGAAGTCGAACTCTCACCAAAGGCACAAAAAAAAACCACGTTCACGCAGGTGCACCAACCCTCTGCGGTTTTGACCTCACCATCCAGGCCTCTAAGGACCCTTCTGCACAGCCATATAACCCAGAATATCAAGGCAGAAAGCCCCTGCTTTGAATTGGGTTATCTGAGTCCACACTGCCGGTTCAAAGCAGATAATGTGGAATTTTATTCAGCTGTGTGGAAAGGGTCTGAGTACATAACCATCTGTGCAACTAAAGTCCTTTCTCCAGTCAAGGTCTGAAACGGTTTTCCATGGTCGGTGTAGATGTGCTCCCCCCAAGAGCGCCACCTCGTCAGCCTGAGGCTTTCCCTGCCCTCCCTTTCCTTCTGGTTGAACCTGCATTGCCCTACATCCCAGTATCTGGTCCCAGATTTCTCTTATTTGAACCGGATTATAAAGTCTACAGAAGCCCCCTCCCCCGCCCCGCACAGTGGGTTAAAGCTGCTGAACTTGCTGACCGAAAGGTCGGAGGTTCCCATCGGGGAGTGGGTGAGCTCCCGCTGTTAGCCCCAGCTTCTACCAACCTAGCCATTCGAAAACATGCAAATGCGAGTAGCAGTCATGCCAGCCACATGACTTTGGAGGTGTCTATGAATCCTTCGGCTTAGAAATGGAGTTGAGCACCAACTCAAAGAGTCCAACACGACTAGACTTGTGAGGGAGGATTGCTGAGGACAAGTCAGCCGTTGGAATCCGAGGAGAGCGGGTTGAGCTCCCTCTGTCAGTTCTAGCTTCCCATGCGGGGACATGAGAGAAGCCTCCCACAAGTATGGTAACATAGACGGCCAATTCTCTCACCCCAGAAGCCACTTGCAGTTTCTCAAGCCACTCCTGACATGAAAAACATTTATATGAATCTACACTGCCAGATAATCTGGGATAAGCAGATAATCTGGGATCAAATCCTGGGATATAGGGCAGTGGACCTTTCCCCGTGGACCTCTCTGAGATAAACGTCCACGCCTGAGTGTATTTCCTCCACCTGACAGAAATGGGGTTGGACTGGATGGCCTTTGGAAGTCTCTTCCAGCTCTAGGGTTCTCACTCTAACCGGTCTCAGAAGTACTTTTCCTTGCAACAGTTTCCCAAGATGAAGGCAACAAACACTTTTAAGTTCCTAGCAACCCGACCAAGCTCTACTTGTTTGTTTACCGTCAAGGGGCGAAGCAAAACAAGCCACGAAGACGCAGCCAAAGCGATGGGCAAGACAAGTTTCAAGGAATGGCTCTGCCACTTGCCACCCATCCACCCCCCCCCCCCCAAAAAAAAGATTGTAGGAAGGGGAAGAGTGGAGGAGGAGAGCACAGGAGGACCCCACTTTTCTGTTTCATGCCATTAAGGGGTACTTTCCACCTGCAAGCTCCCAAATTTCCCCGCCTCTGACATTCTCTCCCTTCCGAAAGAGTTGTAAATCTCAATGCTAGCCCGTGCTGGGCTTTTTAAATCCTCTGCTGGGGATGCAAACAAAGGACCACAACACCAGAATGTGAAGGAGACAGAAAAACCGGTTTAAAATGATCCTGACCGCAATCTACTTAGGATTGGGGGGTTGTTAAGCGCGAAACGGGGTCGCTAGGGGTTGTGAATTTGGCTTCTTTCCAGACCAGCCTTCATTTCCCGTTGGGGATCCATGGCATCCTTCTGTTCATACTCAACGCCTCTGCCCGCCTACACGAGTCATCCAGTATCTTAGGTGAGCCCCCAGTGGCGCAATGGGTTAAACCCCCGTGCTGGCAGGACTGAAGACCGACAAGTCGCAGGTTGGAATCCGGGGAGAGTGCGGATGAGCTCCCTCTGTCAGCTCCAGCTTCTCACCCGAGGACATGAGAGAAACCTTCCACAAGGATGATAAAACATCAAAACATCCGGGCGTCCCCTGGGCAACGTCCTTGCAGACGGCCAATTCTCTCACTTCAGAAGTGACTTGCAGTTTCTCAAGTCGCTCCTGACACCACCCAAAAAAAGGTGAGTCCTCTACTATTAGGGCATCCTGGATAGAAAATAGTCAGGGAGGGGACCCGAAAGAGCGAAAGAGCATCTGCAGCGCTGTGCGGCAAAGGTACCCATTACCCCCATGGTGCAGTGGGTTAAAGACCGACAGGTCAGGTCGTAGGTTGGAATCAGGGGAGAGCGCGGATGAGCTCCCTCTGTCAGCTCCAGCTTCCCATGCTCGGACATGAGAGAAGCCTCCCACAAGGATGATAAAACATCAAAAACATTCCCTGGGCAACGTCCCTGCGGACGGCCAATTCTCTCACTCCAGAAGCTACTTGCAGTTTCTCAAGTCGCTCCTGACACACACAAAAAACCAGTTTCTGTGCCAAATCGGAGTTTCCTGCCATCGAGGAACCGCTTTCCTCCAAACCCCGAATAAAGCAGGGCGCAAAACAGACTCGGAGTTGGCAAACTACTCCGGAAGCCACTCCTTGAACCTTTTCTTTATCTTTTTGGTGCCCTGCTGCTGCTGCCACCGTCGGGGCGAGGGAAGACTCGTCTCGAGGTCTTGGGGATCCCTCTACCGGCGCCAGGCTGCTTCGTTTCCTTTCCTCCTTCCTTCCTTCCCTCCCTCCCGATACCATCCGTCCATCCATCCATCATTCAGCCCATCTTCTTCCCTGTCCTTCTCCGCCCCTCTCGCCTTTTCCTTTGGCCTCCTCAGCCCCCCAACTGTGGAGCTTCCCTCCCTTTGAAGAGCCCCCTCGCCTTGCAGCGTCCAGACCCAAAAAAGAGGGGAGAAGTCGAGTCACCTCGCTCCAAACTTGTCCTGAGCTCCTTCCTTCCTTCCTTGTTGTTGTTGTTGGGGAGAGGGGGAAAGGGATCAGGAAGCAGGGACTGGGTCGGGACTCGGGGATCCCCTGATGTGAGGGGAAAGCGCTTACCTCGCATTCCTCATACTTGATATTATCCGTCAGTTTCCAAAGCATTTTCATGGATTGGCGAGGCGAGAGACAAGCGAGAGAGAGAGAGGGGAGAAAGGAAGAGAGAGAGAGAAAGAAAAAAAAGAGAGAGAGGGGAGGCTGTGATGCCCTGCCTGCCTGCCTTGGCGCTCTCCTCTGGCATGCAGAGCGCGCCCGCTGCTGGGCTCGAGAAGAGGAGGAGGAGGAAGAGGGGAGGAAGAAGAGGAAGAGGAAGAGGAGGAGGAGGCGATCCGCTGTGCCCGCTCGCAGATCTCCCTCTAATGGTCGAAACTTTCCCCCCTCTCCCTTTCCCTGAGCCAGTCTTCTCCCAACGCAGCCGCCTCGCCTCATTAGCATAGCAGGCGCAGCCCAGTTGCGCCGCGCGCGCCAAGAGCGGGCGCGCGCGCGGCCAGGAGCTCCCCAGGAGCCCCCCGATTGGATTCGCTTGGCCCCCTCCTTTGCAAAAGCAACAGAAAGGTGCCCCCCCCCCTCCTCCAGAATGAAAGAGGGAGGCTTAGGGGAGGATGAGGCCCAAATGGTTTCCTTTTTAAAGGATCCTCTCCATTCTTCTCTCTCTCACTCCTTCTCCCTCTTGTACCTGTGATCCCCAGTTGTCTCCTTCTGCAAACACGCAGAAATCAAAGCCAGGCCCAGCAGGGGCAATGGTTGCTCCTATTAGGAAAATGCCCATCCATTGCAGAACTGGGTTGTTGTGAGTTTTCCGGGCTGTATGGCCATGTGCCAGAAGCATTCTCCCCTGACGTTTCGCCCACATCTATACCAAGCATCCTCAGAGGTTGTGAGGTATATATTCTCAAAGACTTTCATGGCCGGAAACACAGGGTTATTGTGAGTTTTCCGGGCTGTATGGCCATACTCCAGAAGCATTCTCTCCTAATGTTTTGCTTGCATCTATGGCAGGCATCCTCAGAGGTTGTGAGGTCTGTTAGAAACTAGGAACATGGGGTTTATGTATCTGTGGAATGTCCAGGGTGGGAGAAAGAACTTTTGTCTGCTCGAAGTAGCATTTAATGGCCTAGCAGTTTCAAGGTCTGGCTTCTTACTGCCGGGGGAATCCTATGTTGGGAGGTGAAAACAATCAGGGCCTGCTAATCGGTTTTCCGGGCGGTATGGCCGTGTTCAGAAGCATTCTCCCCTGGCGTTTCGCCCACATCTATAGCAAGCACCCTCAAAGGCTGTGAGGTACTGTCTATATTCTCAATGGCTTTCATGGCCAGAAACACAGGGTTGTTGTGAGTTTTCCGGGCTGTATGGCCATGTGCCAGAAGCATTCTCCCCTGACGTTTCGCCCACATCTATGGCAAGCATCCTCAGAGGTTGTGAAGTACTGTATATATTCTCAAAGATTTTCATGGCCAGAAACACAGGGTTGTTGTGAGTTTTCCGGGCTGTATGGCCATGTGCTAGAAGCATTCTCTCCTGACCTTTTGCCCACACCTATGGCAGGCATCCTCAGAGGTTGTGAGGTTTGTATTGTGGAAGGCTTTCACGGCCAGAATCACTGGGCTGCTGTGAGTTTTCCGGGCTGTTCCAGAAGCACTAGGAAACCAGTGTTTGAACCCCTGCTCAGTCTTGGGAACCAACTCTCTCAGCCTCAGTCCCACACCCTTAGTCTATTGCCCTTTTTGAACAAAAGGTAATAGCTTGGCCATGTTCCAGAAGCATTCTCTCCTGATGTTTCGCAAGCATCCTCTGAGGTTGTGAGGTATGTATTCTCAAAGGCTTTCATGGCCGGAAACACAGGGTTGCTGTGAGTTTTCTGGGCTGTATGGCCCTGTGCCAGAAGCATTCTCTCCTGATCTTTTGCCTCCATCTATGGCAAGCATCCTCAGAGGTTTTGAGGTATATATTCTCAAAGGCTTTCATGGCCGGAAACACAGGGTTGCTGTGAGTTTTCTGGGCTGTATGGCCCTGTGCCAGAAGCATTTTCTCCTGACCTTTCGCCTGCATTTATGGCAGGCATCTTCGGTATATTATTTGAGAACACAGAAATGCTGGACCAATCTGGCAACCACCATGTCAGACTCTACAGAGAAGCCGTTGAAATCCACACGCACATGAACAACTTCAACAGAAAGGAGACCATGAAAATGAAAAAAAATATTTTTGTCTCTTTGTAGCAATTCTAAAAACTCTAAAATCAGGACAGTAAATAAAGGACAACACTCTGAAAACAGGGGGAAACAGTCAATCTGCATTCTGAACCTGCATTATAATGCATCGTAGATCCAGCCTGAGTTCCACGCGTGGAAAGTCTGGCACCTAAATCAGCCTGTAGAGGACTTGAAAGGCTGGCTCTCCTCTGATTTAAGAACCCTGCCTCACTGATCAATGCCTAGACAAGAGATTTTTCTCTTTTCTTGATTTCCCACTTTTTCTGTTACTTTGCAACAACCAGCCCCCCACAATGGCGAACTTTTAAAGTCAGGACGCCACAAAACCCGTGGTGTTCGGAAAGGAAGCGACCCTGGCGACAATAAAGTGTTGAATGGATTGTCGAAGGCTTTCATGGACGGCCTCACAACCTCTGAAGATGCCTGCCATAGATGCAGGCGAAACGTCGGGAGAGAATGCTTCTGGAACATGGCCATACAACCCGGAAAGCTTACAACAACCCAGTGAAGTGTTGATTTGTCGCTTGTTTGCTTGTGTTGGGTTTCATCCCTGGACTGCACAAGTCTCTTGTGTCATCAAGCTTCCAGACCTCAACGAGGAGCTAGACTAGAGATTGAGGTGTTGTTCTGAGGCTTTGTGGCCGAAGAATGCACCCCAAGAATCCCCCAAGTTATGGGATGGTAGTCGGGAGAAATGGGCTGCCATCCGAGTAAATGGCATCTGAAATGAATTCTGCTCCACTTATGGCATTTAAATATCAGAGGGCTTAGCATTAATGCCGATAGGGATTGAATGACAGAAAGAGTAAATGGCATCTGAAATGAATTCTACTCCACTTATGGCATTTAAATATCAGGGGGTTTAACATTAATGCCGATAGGGATTGAATGACAGAAGTCTGTGAAATCCAGGTTTAAACCATAGGCTCAGAAGCCATTATCCCATACCGACTTTTTTCAGAGACCTCGACTATAGTGCTCACTGAGCATAGGCAGAGTCGTTTTCCATCTAGGTATCACAGAATCATAAGAGTTAGAAGAGACGGCAAGCACCCTCCAGTCCAACCTCATTCTCCCAGGCAGGAAGATATCATCAAAGCCCTCCCGACAGATGGCCATCCAGCCTCTGCCTCAAAACCTGCAGAGAAGGAGACTGGAAGTAGTGAATTCCACTGTTGCACAGCTCTAACCCTCAGGCAGTTTGTTCTAATATTTAAGTGGCAAATCCTTTCCTGTCCTGTGAATCCATTGCCTGACTCCTTCAAAGTGAAGAGAGAGGGGGCCAAAAGACAGTTCCATCTTGTCTCCTGCATATGTCATCAGTTGAGGACCCCTCTCCCTAGCACCAACTGCTGGTCTGGGCCAGAGTGAGAGAGGGGACCAGGAGGACAGTTCCATCTTGTCTCCTGCATATGTCATCAGTTGGGGACCCCTCCCCTCAGCACCAACTGCTGCTCTGGGCCAGAGAAGAGAGAGGGGGCCAGGAGACAGTTCCACCTTGTCTCCTGCATATGTCATCAGTTGGGGACCCCTCCCCCCAGCACCAACTGCGCTCTGGGCCAGAGTGAAGAGAGAGGGGGCCAGGGGACAGTTCCACCTTGTCTCCTGCATATGTCATCAGTTGGGGACCCCTCCCCCAGCAGCCTGAGTGAAGAGAGAGGGGACCAGATGACAGTTCCATCTTGTCTCCTGCATACCTCATCAGTTGGGGACCCTCCCCTAGCACCAACTGCTGCACTGGGCCACAGTGAAGAGAGAGGGGGCCAGGGACAGTTCCACCTTGCCTCCTGTGCTATGCTAATAATATAATATAATATAATATAATATAATATAATATAATATAATATTATAATAATATAATATAATATAATATAATATAATATAATATAATATAATATAATATAATATAATATATTGTATATACATCTAATATTTATAATATTATACTGTAATGCTATATAATACTACTACCAATAATAATAATAATAATAATAATAATAATAATATGATATTATAATTATATATTTATATTACATGTAATATTACTAATAATATTACAATATAATGGTATAGTACAATATAGTAATATAATACTGATATTGTACTATGCTAATAATATAATATATATTGTGTGTGTGACGGGGTAAGAAGGATAAATAAATAAATAAATAAATAAATAAATAAATAAATAAATATTCTGTATTCAGAAGAAGGTCTTTTGAGGCCGTACGGCACTACATTTTTGATGATTTGAGCCCCACTTCTTTCCTGATATCCCAGCCACATGCCTGCAGGATATTTCCCCCCAAAATGATGACAACTGTGCTTCCGACTCTGAGGTCTTCGTGGGCTCAGTCTTTTATGAGGCTTGACACATTCAAAGTCTTCAAAACCTTTAAGTTTTCAAAACTTTGAATTCTGTTGCTTTCTCTCTGTGAAGGATCCCTTCAACCCGACTAAAAGCGGCCCACTGGTGAATGCGAGTAGAGGGAGTGAGTGGATCCAGCTGATGGTGGAGGCCCCTAAGGTGGAACCACAGCGAAATCTACATGTCCCCAAGAGCAGAGCTTTCAGAGGAGTCCAAGGGTGCCCTGGCCTCCTATACTGTAGAATGAATGCAGCCTGGCACCCCTTGGCTCAATGCTATAGGATCCGGAGAGCTGTAGTTGGGCGAAACACCAGCACTCTTTGGTGCCTCCAAGACCTGGCAAAACTACCACTCCCATAATTGCATCGCATTGAGCAAAGCTTGACAAAGTCCGCCACACCGACTTAGAAAAGCAACCTAAATAGGCAGGCACATGCCTATGGCACGTGTGATAGCTGCAGGATAGGACACGT